CTCTTCAGGCCATGCAGTTTGGCTGCATTAGTGCATGCGGGCTCCGCGAGCAAGCGAGTGATCGTGTTCACTCGGAGCTTTCTTGTGCCTAGTTTTAGCAGAAACTTGGCGAGCAGAAGCTTCCTGCATCTTAGAGCACCTCCGTGAGCCAGGAGGATGCTCTCAAGCAGAGAATGTGAATTCTCTGGGAGCTCCCCAGGCAGCAAGAGCCCAGTGCAGAGGCTTGACTTTAAAGGGTTTCAACATCCCCGTTCCCTTGATCATCATTTTGAATCAAACAAAAGCTAATGCAATTTTCTTTGCCTTTCAGTAGCAGGTTGTGCTGTAAGGGTCCTTACCATTAGAAATGTAATAATTGCTTCCCTGTGCAGGTCTAATTCATCTGCGAGGCACTTAGAAGATAGGTGCAGCGATACCCAGTGAGAGGAAGGCCCAGAGGTGGTGATACAGATCTGCCGAGCACCTTTCGTCCCTAAAGTGAGTGAGAAGGGATGAGGAGAGAGGTCTTGGAGAGGGGCAGCTCTGTACCGGGCACAGAGAGGCTTCCCTGCCACTGGAACCAAACTTAGGGCATGTCCAGGCCCTGCGCTTGGTAACCTGCACTATCTGTAATCCCCAAATAATAACTGTTGGTGGCTGTGCGTGGATTGAGAGCTCCGTGCTCGGTCCTGCTGGAGGTGGCTCTGTGTCCTTTGTCCCACAGTTTGGATCCTGGCAAACGCCCACGTTGCCTTCAGGCTGGCCGAGAGGATGCCCATGCTGGTGTCTCGAGGCACCTGGCCCTCACGGGAGCAACTCCCTGTGTTATGAGCTCACTAATTATTACTGCTTTCCCACACTGAGTCTGAAACAGCTGAAGCTGAACAGCCACGAGTGTATTTTGCTTTAGCTTTGCTTTAGCTATATCAAAAGCTAAAAAAAAGGAATAGAAAGTGTGAAGTTCCGTGTCATTTTCTTAGGGTTGGAGCCATTTGGGAGGCTAGATGCTCTTGCACAAAGCTGTTTGATGGTGCTGGTCTAAAGTTGTGCTGTTGCTGGTAGTGCTTTACCAGGTGAATGTGCATGTGTGTGCTCGCTGGTGAAATGGGGATTTTAAAAGAACAATATCAAGTTTCCACCTAAATGATGCCTTTTATATGCCAGCATTTTCACACATCCTCATCCACTCGTCTGTCTGCTTCGACTGGGCAAGGGCTCATTGTGCACGTATTAATGGCAGGTGTCCAAACCCAGGCTGATGTGTGCAAAAGAGGCATAAAAATGCCCACTGTTTGGGGGCCATCTGAAGCGTTTTCCAGTGGCTGGTCGGGCTGGCCATGCCAGGCGGCACTGCCTGGTCCTACCTATTGGCAGGGATAACATACCCGTCCTGCTGCGCGTCCAGTCTGCCCCTGAACCATCTTGGGGATAACATTTGAGAGAGAGAAAAAGAAGATGATGAGGTTAAAGCAAATTGTTGGGAAGCAGGAGCCTAAAGTGGGAATAAATGAGAAATAAAACCATTTCTAAAAGTAGAGCTTCGTATTTTCTTGCTATTTTTCATCTCCTTGGCTTAAGTGAGTCTGTGTTGTGTGGCTGCAGAGATTTATATTCACAGCTCCGGAGGGCCAGTGCTTGTTCACATTCCGTATTATTCCACCCTTTTTAGTCACTCACCTGCTAAAGACGTAGTGTAAATATTTATCTTTGCTCGGGCCCATCCCTGCTGCCCTGCTGGTAAAGGCTGTTATCACCTCATCGCTCTTATCTCGCGCAATCCCTGCCAACATTGGCAATCCGTGAACGGGAGCGAGCGTGCACCTTCCGGCCTCCCCAGATGAGCAGAGAGAGGTGATCTGGGGGACGTAATATCGTGAGAAAGAGAATGCCAGCGCTGTCACTCAGAAGGCAGAGGTTAGTATATATGTTTATCATAAAACCGCTATATTGTTTGAGTGCTTTTCACTCCCGTGGCCCTTGGAGATGTGATTGAGAGAGATAGGAACAAACTCGAGGGGTCAGTAACCACAGAGAAGAGGCCTCTGAGGCCTCCGTCACACATCCAGGATCTTCCTTTTAGGAAAATTCCCAAGGAGTGAACACGGGGTGGAAACACCGATATAATCCCATCACTTATGAGACCAAATTGATGTGCAGAAGCCAGAGTACCACACCACTTAACGGATAAGACAGTGGGTCCATCTGCACCCGGTCCATCTTCTGCCATTTCTCTTGCTTAAATTTCTCAGGAGCACAACACGATCCTGTTATCCAATAAGTTACCCACTGGTAGGTGGATTTTCATTGAGTGGCATCTGTTGCAGACCACGGACATAGAAGGTCCCGGTAATTTTGTGGCATCTTTGTTTTGCTGATTTTGGTGGACTTGGACACTTACTTTTGATGTGTTTGCATCAGTGCTGGTTTCAGCATGTAACGCATCGGCTCCCAAAGAGGAAAGTGTTAGAAAATTACAAATATTTTTGTTTCTAGGATGTGTTCACTGTGTATCTTCGTATCAGGAAGATACGCTGCTGCCCTTCTTATGTACAAGTCAGTGCACCCTCACCGACACTGCGGCCACGTACCCAAACCTCGGTGGCATTTGCAACTGGACCTCAAGCGTCACTCAAGGTTTCCTGCACAGACGTCTCCTGTTCGTGTCCAGGAGGCACAAACATGGTGTTGCCCATGTTATAGCAGCCTCACGATACCCTCAGCACCTCTTGGAAGCTCTGCTCTCTGCAAGGGCAGCCTCAGTGCTGGGTTCTGCCATCTTTTAACATGCCTTAACACACGGACATGCAGGGTTTGCCTGACATTCCATGGCACAGTTTGGAAATGAGTGCGTGAGGCTTTTATGTTACAGATCTATCAAGTGATCGGTTGCCCTGTGTGTCGGCAGACCCTGCATTTTGTTGCAATTGCAGCTCTGCGTGAATTTCATTTCAGTCATCTGAAGCTAAATTGGAGAGAGAAGGAATAAATGATCATGACAAACATCCCCCTCTGACCGGGTTGCTTCAGGTGAAATAAAGCAACAAAAATCCTGGTGAGTGTTGGTGGAGGAAAACTAACTGCTCCCGACTGCAGACTGAGTAACTGAGGGGATGGTCTCGATCCCTGCGTTTTTGCATTCCTCTTGGTGCTTAGGATGCCCATCTCGTGGCTAAGATGTGGTGGTCCCGTGCCTGTGGTGCAGGGAGGCAACACTGCCCTGGACCAGGGCTAGGAGGAGGAGCTAGGATGAGCAGGCCAGGGCTAGGATGAGGAGCTAGGACGAGGAGGCTGGGCCTAGGATGAGGATGAGACCAGGGCTAGGATGAGGAGCCAGCTTTCCAGTGGGATTTTCAAATGCTCCCTGAAGTAGTTGATTGCTATGTCTGGGAAATATCCTTAGCATGGAGACCATCTAGAAATGATTTTAACTTCTCTACTTCTGGTTTCAGTGTGAAGCCACAAACATTTGCAGAGCCGAGGAGGAGATATTCCTGTCACGTAGTTTCTGCAGTGGGAGTGCTGGTCCTTGCATTCGTGGCCCGTCTTTGATGAGTTTCCGAGCGTTTTGTGTCGCGTCGCCGTAGCTGAGCCAAGCTCTGTGTCTGGCCAGACGCGCACGTAGGGCTCCCATTAGCCACGGCACTCCAGAAAGGCAGCTCAAAGAGGGATTGGGCTCAGCAGCCTCAGCAGGGCATTTCGAGGCCCTTAGTGAGTGACCACACTAGAGCTTTTTCCATTTACCTGGATTAACATTTGTCATGGCAAAAATAAAAGCAAGTAGCGTAGCATCTGCAAAGTATAACAGATAGCATGCAGCCAGCAGTCAGGCTTGAAGGGAAAAAAAAAAAGAAAAAAGGCTAAATAAAGTGTAAAAAAATGTTTGCATAACATTGGTTTAATCGTTCTTTTTAAAAATGGCACTGGAACTGGAGAGATGCATTTCGTGTGCTGGGACTTGCGCCCTGTCCTTAGACTAATAACTGCCAGCAAGTACATCTCGGTGAAATAAAAAGACTCATTAGCCCGCGGGCTGGTTGTAGGTCTGCTGAAGCAGCAGTGTTTGACGCAGACTTTTGGAAGAGGAACAAATGCCTGTAGTATTTCTGGATGCGTTCTCTGCGCTCGGCGAGGAGTTTTGAGGCCGGGCTTTCCGACAGGACGGGAATTCTGTCAGGCTGCCCAGGGCTTTATTGGGAGGCTCCAATTCAATTCCCCGCCGTGTTTGGTTGGCAAAAACGGTTGCGAGCGGGAGCGCGGCCGCCCGGCCCGCAGCCCCCGCGCCTCTGCATCACCCCGGGTACCTTATTCGCCTGGACTAATCCATGGCCGTTGTCCTTGCTTCCTGTGTCTGTTTCCTTTGCGGGATCGTCTCAAGATTCCTTGAGTACAGTTAATATCAGACAGAATAACGAGCTTGGAAACCACGACTCTCCAAACAGCAGCGTGTGAGATTTCCACCTGTTTTCCTGTGCTTTTTTTCCCTTTTGCCAGCTCCCGAATCCATGGCAGGTTGTAGAATTTGCATCTTAATCCCAGCGATGATGCTAATGAAAATCTGAGTTTCCATAAGCAGCTGCAAATAAATTGAAGGAGTAGGGAACTGAATTAGAGGCTGAGCGTGGTGAAAGGGAAGGGGCCGGGGTTTCCATCTAGTATTTCACCTGTTCTTGTGGCGGGATGAGGCTGCCCTGAGAGACGCCTGGCTTTGCCCTGCTAGGACATGCCATGCAAGGACTGAAATCCTTCCTTTTTATGGCCTGGAAGTGATAATGAACTGAATTATACTCGTGTCATGACGTGATCCACGTATATGCATGGATAGATATTGATTATCCATCAGTAGGGATGCATGATAGGTGAAGATTCAAAGCCTGGCTGCTAGGTACCTGGGTGTCCTGGGCTGTTTATCTAGTCACTTAAAATATTGCCATGATTCACCTTATTTCCTTAAAACTGGAATTTATTTGCATGACCTTGGGTTGTCTAAACCTCTATAGTCAAATGTGTCTCTTGTTTTTCAGGACGGGGAAGGCCAGACTGCACTCCATTATGGTAAGCTGCCTTTCCGTTTGGATGTTGCCTCTTAACAGGGATGGCTTTCCAGCTCGAGTAAATGATCCTGTGTGCAGAAAGCGACTTTCAGCAGAAATGTTAGCAGGGAAGCTGCCTTACAAACCGGTCTGACCCGAGCAGATTCTCTCCCGCAGAATCACAGAGTATTTTGCGTGAGGTGAAGTTGCAGTTTGTGTCGCTCCTGCAATTACATGCTAATTAGATGTGTGGTTTTATAGCAATCTTTTTAATTGAAAGATTGTTCTATCTCCAAATGAGAAGAGTAGAGAGACTAAAATGACATATACAGTGCTGATGTGCAGGGAATATAAAAAAGAATATTGATTTAATCTATAGCATATTTTTTTCCCAAATTAAGACAGATACAGTTATTATTTTATACTTTCTCTCAATGCCTGTCCCTGTGTAACTAAGAGCATACTTGTCGCTCTTCAAGTGTTTGTGTCTATTCCTCTCCCTGTTGTTTCTCCACAAGGATATTAGCAGGATGGCAAAATTGCTTTGTAGATGCTCAGTCCACGATACCACATTTGGATCTGGATTTCAATTACCAAATTCCAGGGTCCCTGAACAAGAATGTAACTGCAGTAGCGTGTGATGCCCACCCCTGCTCCCTAACTCTAGCACTGACATCCATCTACCCAGGCAAACACAGTACTTTATGCAATGCTGTGCAGGAGCCCAGCACGTGTATAATTTATCTGCGAGCACCTGCTGAAAGCCAGTCAAATATTCTTAAGGCAGAAGGTGGATGCATTACCTTAATATGAATTATTTCCTTTATGGGCTGGTTTTATTTCCCCCAGACTGGCGGTTGAAGCTAGTTGTTTAACACAAACAAATAAAACTGGTTTAATTAAGAGAATATCAGAAATGATTTCCCTGATCCATCACGCCAGCTATGATGTTTAAATGATCAGTTTTCCACATTTTTTGTTCCCCCCCCCAAAATGTTTTGTGTGTAAAAAAGAAAAAAAAATCCTTCCCCCTGAGTATTTTTTGTCCCCTCGCCCCTTCCTCCAAGCAGCCTGTGGGGAAGCCTCCTGGGTCCCTACCACAGAGACCTGATGTGTCCCGCGGTGCTGGTGAGCGTCGCTGAGCCTGGTGCGCCAGCAATACCCTTGCTCACTCCCTTGCTTAGCAGATCTGCTCATAGATCACCCAGATTTTGCTTGTTAACTTAGCCAGTTGTTTTGATTCAAGAGGTTATTGGTCTGGACCTGAAATTCGCTGAAAAATATCCTTGTGTGATCTCTGTATGTGCTTCATAACCACATCCTGAATTGCAGCAGAGAGACACGAGAGCTCCCGTGAAGAATGTGGCTTCTGGAGTGAAGGAGAACATTGCCCTGTTGCTGGAGATTTCCTGGAAAGGGTTAAATCCCACAGGCAAGGACAGTAAGACAGGGCCTGCTTTTAGGGTTTACACATCCCCTTTTATGAGCCAGCCTGGCCTGACAGCTGTCCTTGTGCTGACAGCTCTCCTGATTACAGCCGGTGTCAAACTGCATCCTGCGCCGGGTTATAAATTCTGCCTCACTGCGATCGGTGCTGACCCTGCCTTTAATCGGAGGTTAAGTGGAGGCCAGTACCCCAGCCTGGCCTTCCCAGACGGGCTTCCCGCTAGGATATCCGGCAGCCTCCGTTGCCTCGGCTGCCTCCCGGGCACAGGGCGCCGCGGTTGCAAGCGGCCGGTAGTGCCGCCTTGATTGGTATGAGCGCGGTCTCCCGGCTAAATGGCCTGTTAGTCTTCAACTCCTCTCCATCCATCCGTGCGCCCGCCCGCGGGGAATACTAAAATCATTGCCTCTGCAGCTCCCAGAGGAAATCAAGGCTTCTCGGAGCGCTCGTGCCACGTGGCCGCGGCTGGGCCGCCTCGCTATCCTCCTGGGCGCTCTGTCTTCCTTGTAAAGCACCATCTGTTCGGCTCTGCACACTGCGGCAGGGCAGTGGGAGGGAACGCCGGAGCGAAGATAAATAAATAAATAAATAAATAAGAGAGAGAGAGAGAAAGAAAGAAAGAAATTCATCATCCAAACCCTGAGGATTAATGGAGTTGGAAGGCGAACTGCGCTGAATGAAAATTCATCTTCACCCGTGCCAGTGTCAGGGCTGCCGCTCTGGCCCTTGACAAATGGAGGTTCCCAGGGTGCCATAAATCCCGCAGCTGTGCTCGTCCCCGGGGAGCGCTGGCCGTCCCGCCGCCACCTCCGGCTGCATCCCGGGGGATGCAGCTTCCTGGGGGAACCTGCCYGCTCTAGGTCTGGCTCCCGACACGCCGGCAGCCTGGCCATGGCACCAGGCATCAGGCACCTCATCCCACATCCCCACTGCCACCTGCTTCATCATCAGTCCCTTTGCTTCCTATTGCTTTTTATCCGTGCTCATATGAGCTCCAATCACATGCTGGGTTTATTTTAATTAAACTTTGCTGCTTGTCCCTTTGGGTCAATAGAAAACTGCAGAGTAGTGTAAAAGATGCTCTAATTGCTATGTTTAATGGCAAAGACAAGTTAGTTAGTTACATTGCTAAGGTGCCTGGAATATAATTAAAACTGATAGATAACAACTGGAGAGGAAGCTGCCACCGTCTCGCAAGCCTCCTAAGGCAGCTCCGGCTGGAGACATTCCTGGGTTTTCTCAGGAATCTGCCTTCCAGAGGTGCCCTAAGGGAGAGTCCAGGGTTTTGTGTGGTTGCTGGGTACACACAGCTCTACAGCATTAAATACACTGCATTTATTTTTAGGAAGCAGCTGAGGCTGGATGTGGAGAAGGAGTTGAAAATTGACAGGGATAGAGAAGAACTCGAGTCAAACTAAATTTTATCTCAGTAGAGTAATTCAAGCTTGGAAAAATAGTAGTTAGTGGAGATAATAGTTCAAAATAAAGGCCCTGTGCCATTGCAGTGTGGACAGCCATGTACTCCATGGGTGTCCACCTTGTTTCCCATCTTCAAATGGCTCTGGAAAATGCCCTGTGAGGATGTCCGAGCCCAGGCGCCGAAAGCCAGCTCCTCTGGCTTGGCTCTCTCCTGGCCTGGGCTGGCTGCACCCAGGGCCGTCCTGCCCGGCCTTACGGTACGAGTAGCGCGGCAGAGCCTTCCCCGGACTGGGAGCTCTCCGCACTTTTCATTTCTTTGCCTTCCCATCGGAGCTCTGTCTGCCTTTGCGCCCTGAGCCTCCCCAGCCCGGCGTCTCCGGCGGAGCCGGGGGCCGCGGCACGGCAGCCCCTTGGCGGTGCCCGCGCTAACCCTGCGCTCTCTCCCGCCAGCGGCCGCCTGCGAGTTCCCGGACATCGTGGAGCTGCTGCTGCAGTCGGGCGCAGACCCCACGCTGCGGGACCAGGACGGCTGCCTGCCCGAGCAGGTGACGGACTGTAAAGCCATCATGTCCGCGCTGCAGCGGCACACGGCCGGCGAGACCTAAACCTGCGGGCGGGCAGTCCGTGCGCGGGCTCCGGAGCGCGGACACCACCTGCGATAACGCCCCTTCTCTCCCCCCCAGCCCTCCAGGTTGCCCCAGGGTCCAAAGGGGAGCACAGGCAGGAGGTTTGGGAGGGTTTCGAGCTGCGGGCTGTCTTACCAGGCATATGTGCAAGGTAGGATCAGGGTCTTGCATGCTCTGGGACGTACCCGCATCCAGGGAGTGGGGAGGGAGGGCAGAGAGGGCCTGGAGAAGCCCCTAAATGTTGTTTTGGTGTGCTAAATACAAGGGCCACGTTGGGTGTGTCACCAGAGGACACGAAGGGGACCTTGGTGCAGGGAGCTGCCAGGGCAGGTGAGATGCTAGGCTCTGCAGTGGGGGTTGAGTTTCGGGTTGTTTTTTCCCCTGGGCCGAAACAAAGGTATTACAAATAAAGAAAAGCACAGTGTTGAGACAGCGTCCTGGTGTGTTTGTCTTTTGTATGTCTCTCCCCACACCCCGTCACGTAGCACCCATGGTGGCAGCGCACCTCAGCTGCAGGCCTCACTGCAAGGTGCTCCTGTGGTCTTTGCTCCAGCCTTTCTGCAGTGCCTTCAGGGTCAGGAAAATAAATGGGAACGTTCCCTCCGCTAAAGACTGGCTGGAAACAGCGTACGTGGTTTTTGGCCCCTCGTGGCTGCTGCAGCCCCTTGCCAGCTTCTGCTACTGCTGACAACTGCTGAACTGGCTTGAACTCCGCCAGCCACCACTCAGCAGCCAGAGCGGCAGCGCAGAGTCGCAGCAGGCAAGCGGGGAGGCTAATGTAGAAAAGCAGCCCCTAAATAGCTGGATCTGGAGACAGGCTGGAAGAAAGCTGCTGATAAACATTAATGCTCTTCCCGGCACGTAGGAACCACCCGAGTTCAGTAGTCAGGGCCGTTTCCAATCACTGCAAGGAGAGGCTTATTCAGTGGGAAGGATGCAGGGGCCGCCTTGACCTCTGCGTCTGGAGAGCGGGCTGGGGTCCCAAGTCCCGACCAAGAGAGGTGACCTCTCTGCGCTGCCTCAACAGGCAACCTCCACCGCGAGGGATTTATTTTCTCTGCCCTATTTACATGTCTCAAAGGCAACGTTGGCTTGATGGACATTTTGGGTAATAAAAAAGCTCTCTGGAAAGCGAGTGGGAGAGTGGCAGTGGGCAGGCCTTGCCTGCTTTCAGGGAGTGCAGCTGGGGGCTCAGCGCTTAGCCCTGGAAATGTTTATAGCACTTTAGAGCTGTTTGTTAGTTTGGAGCCTTTCCAAAAAAAAATAAAAAATAAATAAGTAAAGGGGAAAAATGAGAAAGACATATATTATTGTTTATAATCTGCTTTATTCAGCCAAACCTTTCCCCAGCAGCCTTGCGGATTGCTGTTTAAATCCCCCGGTGCCTTTAACTACCGATACAGAAAGTGGTTAATGTGCATTCGGACTAAGCTTGGCATCTACTCCAGGAAATCACTTTAATTGAGAAGCATTAAATGTTAAAATGATTAAAATACAGAGAGCCAGCACACCGGTGCCGACGGCGGCGCTCGGCTCTGCCGGCCTCGCGCTTCCCTTGCTCAGACCTGTAACGTGCCCAGCGCCTGGGGACGCATTTTGGGGCACCCAGCCCCGGGTGCAGGCACAGGGTGTCGGGCAGCGTCGGCCCTTGCAGCTGATAACCAGATTAGTGCGGGGAGGGGGCTGCAAAGTGCAGTAAAAGGCTTAAAGCAGCAGCATGAGGCGCAGGGAGGCCCGGCCTGACGCCCTCCTGATGGGCCTCGGGGAGCGGCGGCCACGCAAAGAGGAGCCCGCAGAGGGCAGCTGCTGAGGGGCGTCCCGTGCACACCGCCCAGGGTGCTGCCCAGCCGCACCCCATGCCCCTAAATAAATACGACGATAAATGCGGCTGCAGTCTTTGAATTTTTTTTTATTAGTTTTGTCATTTGTGATTTTCTTTTTCCAGGAAACAAGACTCTCGCTTCTTTTTTTGAACTGTACAAAATTTACATGGCGAGGGGAGAGAGGGGGCAACGCTTGGCATGGCGAAGGGGGACAGCGAGCGCGCCAGCGAGCACAGGGCCAAACCGCCGCTGCGCTTGCGTGGTCATTTAGTCCTTTTCCTCCCACTTTTCTCCCCCCTGCACCTTTTTTTTCTCCTTTGCTCTCAGCTCTGCCCCAGCTCCTCAGCGCCCCGCCGCCTTGGCCACTGGCTGTACTGGGGGACAGGGAGCAGCCGCGGCGTCGCCGGTTTCACCCGGGTGGCCCGAGCCTCGCGGGCACCGCACGCAGCCCTGCCGGCAGCCATCCCCGCTCCTGGCACTAAAATAAACCCTTCTCCAATATATACTTCTCTTTGCGGCCTCCAAAAATAACTCTTGAAAACAGAGGCACGTCGGGGGCCGGGCGGCCGCCCGTCTCGGCCCCGCGCGTCGCTCCGTCTCCCAGCGGCTGTGCCTGCCGCCTCCCTTGTGCTTCCGGCCGGCGGCCCGCGGCGCCCGCACGCCTAGAAGGGGGGGTGATCCATGTCGTCCAGCCAGGAGGCCGGGCTGGTGGGGAAGTCCGGGTAGCCCACACTGCTGCCCGTGGAGATGTCGGAGGTGGGGCCGGGCGCCAGGGCCCGCAGCGCCGGGCCGCCCCCCGGCCCGCCGGCTGCCAGCGCCAGGCTGCCGTCCATGGCGTACTCCAGCAAGGGCGGTGGCACCGGCAGCGACGAGATGGACGAGGGCGACTGCGGCAGCCCGTAGGGGCTGCCGTCCCGCAAGTCCTGGTAGGGTTGGCCCGGGCCCTCCACCGGGAAGCCACCGTTGAGTAGCTGCCCGGCAGGTACCTCGGTGCCGCCGTACACCCGGTTAGCGTGGCCGAGCTCGGAGAGGATCTGGTCGTCTGCCGGGAGCAAGGAGGGGTGGTGGTGAGCGACCCGCGGGCGCCCCGGCCCCGCCGCCCGCCACCTGGCCGCGCCGCTCACCGCGGAAGCTGAGCTCGCTGTCGCTGACGCCGCAGTCCTCAGCCGAGCTCTCCTTCTCCAGCTTGCCGCCGCCGCCGCGGCTCCGCTTGACGCTCTTGTAGAACTGCCCCCAGCGGTGCCGCCCCGCATCCTTCTTCAAGCGCTTCTCCTTGGCCCGGCGGTTCTGGAACCAAACCTGGGCCCCGGTGCCCGCCATCACTGCCGCAGCACTGCCACCACCCCGCAGCACCCTGTCACCCCGGGACCTTGGCACTGCTCTGTCCCAGCACCACAATACCCAGCACCCCGACACCCTGGGACCCCAGCACCCTCAGTACCCCATCATGCCAAGCAGGCTAGCATCAGCTCCCAACAACCCCAGTATTCCAGGACCCTGTCATCCCAGCATGCCAAATAGCCCAGAATTCCAACTCTCCAGCGTCCCTGGACAGGAGCCCAGACACTTGGCACCCCCATCGCCAGCACCCTGTTCCCACTATATCCCAGCACCCAACACCCCAGCATCCTGGTAACCCTGCACGTCCATCTCCCTGGCATCCTCACATCCCAGCATTTCTGACACCCTCATATCCCAACCACCTGCATCCCAGCACCAGGTTACCCCCATATCCCAGCATCCCAGCACATCCCAGCACCCAGCACATCCAGATCCTCCATGCCTGACACATGGGGTCCTTTGCTATGGGCTGAACCTGCTTCCAGCTTGCAGGACCTTCATGATAGGTGTCAAGTGGGGCCCAAAGCTGGGCCTGGCTGCTCCTCACACACCCAAATGGAGGCAGTCCCGGTGCTACCCGCAGCATGTGCCATCGCCCGGCCACCACTTGGCTCAGTGGCCGAAGGAGAGGCCATGGGCCTCCCCAGCCTCACCTGCACCACCCTCATGTCGAGCCCTGTCTCGGAGGAGAGCTGCTCCCGCACGTGCCGGGCGGGCTTGGGCGAGTTCTTGTAGGCGTTCTTCAGCGTTTCCAGCTGCTTGGCCGTGATGGTGGTTCGGGGCCGTTTAGCACCTGCCTCCGAGTCGTCTGCAAGAGAGACACCAGCTTGCACCTAACCCAGCCCCGCAACGCCCGCCGAAACCGCGCCGCTGCCTACCGTTCTGCTTGGCTGTCTCATAGTCCTCCTTGCACACCAGCCGCCCATCCTCCATGAGGTAGAACTCATCGCCTGTGGCCAGCTGCCGGCTGCAGATGATGCAGGCGAAGCAGTGCAGGTGGTAGACGAAGTCCTGGGCCTTGCGCACCACCTGCGTGGGGGGGATGCCCTGCTGACAGGCCGTGCATTTTGTCCCGAAACGCCTGCAAGGAGAAGCGGTGGCCGTGAGCACCCCACAGGTCAGTGCCGGGGCTGACTGGGGCGGTGGGCGCAGAGCGGCCATGGGGCTGAGCATGGGCAACTCCTGACTCATATGGGGGTCCTCTGAGGGACCCAATCCACTGTGTGGGGAAAACAAAGGGTGAATCCTGCCTTCTTGGGGACAAACTGCAGGATACCAAGGCTCACGACACAGGCTGCAGAGCCAGGCGCAGCAACGCAGGCATAAGCCAAGTGGAGGAAGGCACCACAGGCAAAGGAGGAATCGCGATGGAAAACTTCCCTGCGGCGTTGGCAGCATGTGCTGAGCGCTGCCTTTCCCCCGGCACGCGGCCCCGTGTTGAACACGCGCGCCCTGCAGAGCGGAGCAAATCGATGCCGCGCGTCGCTGCCTCCGCGAGGAGCCCACCCAGGGCGCCGGCAGCCCCGGCGGCCAGCAAGTGCCTGGCTACAGCGCGGCCCCTCGAGGTGGCACCGCGAGGGACCGCGTCCCTGCTCGGCCGCCCGCCCTCAGATCAATGAGCAGTTGAAACCAAGGTGAAGCGCGTGAGCGAGTGGCTGCCGCCGAGCTATTGATTGGCACAAAATAATCTAGGCAGGACCTAATCTACGAAAGTCACTGATCCTTCGGCTCTAATTAACATTGATCACCTGCACCTTTTGGGCAACTATTTAAATGACTTGGAGATTAATAATCTGGGAAAACAGTGTGGGCGAAGCGTGGGTGCTGAGCCTGGAGCCCTGATAGGCTACAGCAGGACTGCAGAAGCCCTGCTGACTTTCACCTGGGCAGTTTTCAGCTTTATTAATGGCTCCTAATTATTTATCTGTGTTTATATCGCAGCTTCAAGGGGCAGCAGAGGAATTTAGAGGTGATGTTGGCTTTTGCAGGAGAGTCACTAAGGTGGGTTGAGATCCAGGAGCGGCCACCAGCCCTGGCAGTGAGGGAAGCAGCCGAGACAGGCGGGCACTAAGCTGGACTTGGGCGGCAGGGAAAGTCCTGCCGGGATTAGCGTGGGCCCGTAATCGCTCTTTAGCCGGGCGCCATGGGGTGCAGTCGGCTCGGCCTCAACGCCCACCTGGCCAGCGGGAGAGGCCACACATATGTGTCTTGAAAGTGTGAGGCCTCAGCCCTGC